ACATGAAGTATTTTCTTTGTTGCTCGACATTTTATATGTAAGACTCTTGTACTGACATTGGTATTGAGATCATTATGCAGTGGCTCCAAGCGAAAAAAAAAACAGCTTAAAGTTTATGCTCCTAAATTCCTGTTGTTATTGGATAGTTTCCTGTATTTGTAATACTCTTGTATCAACATTACTACTGAGATCTGTGGCTTCAAAGTATGAAAAAAACCTGTAATTATTAGTTGGCTTTTTATCATATTATTTTTTAATGTTCTTTTATAAATGTTGGTTTTGAGATAATTATGCAGTGGCTTCATATTATGAAAAGAAAAACCTGTAAGTTAAGAAGTAATAAAATTTGTAAAGTATGTGATGATCATTGTTGTGTTCATGAGGCCATTTCGTTTAAGTGTCGAAATTGAAGTGATCCTTAATTGCGACAGTTTTACCTTACCACCCTCTGTGATTAGGCCAGAAAACTTGCCCCAAATGCAACACTAAGAGTAGTCGCTGCTCACTTTTTCCTCGCGTTTTAGGAAGTTTGCTTAGCTTCACTAATAGCTATGATTGGCTCCTTGACTGACCCTCGTGATCAAATTGGTTTTTGTCTTACAATATACATATATGTTATTTGCCTGCTTGGAGGTCCGTATGGTGAAAAACTGTGCCCGAGGCCGTAGGCCGAGGACAGCATTTTGAAGACTGAGGTCACAGTTTTTCACCATACGGACCTACCCTTAGCCGGTAAAGGACATATATATATATATTTTTAAACTTAACGAAGTTCTTCCGAAAGAACCCGAATGATTAAGGGCTGTAAATACGGCAAGATCTTCCACAAACTGAACAATTTTTGAATGAGTAAATGGTAGTTAAAATGGGGGTGATGCAAATTAAAGAGAAATGCTTTACCGAAACATTTTAATTTGTGTAATGATAAAGGTGATTTAAAAGGCTTCCGAACAAACTTCGTAACGTTATTTTTACAAGTATCTGTCACAATCTGACACCTGTCAATTAGAGAGTGCGTAAAAGAAAAAAAAAAGCATAAGTTCACTATTGAAAAACAACGAAACTAGTTTGGAGGACTGTAACGACAATGTTTTCTTCAAAAACGGTCAATGATCGGACGGAAAGTATTATTCACTCTCATCGATAATTATCCATGTACGAAGATTTACCTCTGTTCATTAAGTAAACGGCGGGGAAAGTAATTGTAAGTAAATTCAATTTTTTTATTTTGAAGTTGTGTTTGCTCGTTTGTTTGCTGCAATGGCGTGTGTAAATCTGGTCTTTCTTCCACAAAAACTAAATTCGAATGATACTCTCCAACGAGACACAAGGGGATTTAATGCAGCCTTTTCTCATTGAATTCATTCAGTTTCTGTTGTGCAATTTACGATGCAAATGTCCAAATTGAACGGACTTGGAAAGACTTACCGCTCGCCCTTTCACTACGAACAAATTGTTTGAGAAAATTCAGATATTGAATGAATGAAAGTTCCATCGATTAGTTCAACTGTAACCAAATACCTCACGTTTGAACTTCCTTGGTACTTTTTGTGAACGATTAAAATGAATTGCAGACGGTCTTTAGTCCACTTTTCAACAAACGTAATGACACTAATGCTTAAACAAATTCACTCTGAAACCAATATTTTTCTGTCAACCAAAGTGATTTGAGAGAGAGAAAAGAGATGATTAATAAGTTATTGATCGGCTTGAGGTAGCGACCGACGTCTTTGCTTAAAAATACTGCCCAGCCGGAAAAACGAGATATATTTATGACAAATGGCAACGAAAGTAGTGGGGAGTCACGAAGGCGTTACCGTTGCCCGTGGGCAGAGATAGGAAAATGCTGACCGGGTAAAGAACCAATCAAATTGCAGGATTCGTTGCCGTGCCCTCTGAAAAAATAAATAAATAAAAAAACGCACGCGATTCTTACGATGAAGTGATCAGACGCTAAGTTGGGCTGCAGACCAGATTCAAACCGAGGCCGGTAGTGCGAAAAAGGGCGCGAATTTCGTTTTTACGTTGGTAACGACATTTAAATTCTCAAGGTCCCTTTCTCCAATTATGAGTAAAGATGAGTACCAGCAAGGAAAGGTCAGGAATATATGGCCTTAAAAAAGATTTATAGGGCTTCCTCCACGTCACCACTCTAAATTAGAATTTGAAATAGAAGAGGAGTGGTGAGAATCACTTCGCGTATATAAATATGTTTTGATCGAATCCGTTATATTTTCTCTTAATTATTTCATGATTTAATTGTAATTTCCTTCCATGTGTATAGTGGTCTTTAAAGGGCTAAGCCCACGGAAGGCGACACTGATTTTCATGAAAAATTATTTTTCTATCTATAGATTAAAATAGTTGACCAATTAATTTGCGCCTGTATTTCTCGAAATCGTGTGTTCTTTATCTGATTGAGTCCTGTCCAACAACTGTTATCAGCGGGTAACTTTCACCGTACATCACTGAAGCGCTCAGCGACAAACCGCTTGTCTTGTACCTATTTGAAGATTATCAGTCCAGTTCCTATGGCCGAAACCGATGAAAATCATCACCAAGCCCACCATGAACGTAGTACTACGACCTAATGAGAAAGATTTACTGGAACTATTAGTCTGACAGCCAAACCCTTAATCTTTCAAGTTGGCTGCGCCCAATGGGGGGCAAGCTGTTCTTGGCATCATTTTAAAGCTTAGAGTCTGCTGATCAAGATATCTGCTTGTTAACATGTACAAAAAGTGTCCAAAGGCCTCGGTAACCTGGCCTAGATAACCCATGATCCTTTGCGCCAGAATTTCGCCGAACTGTATTCTTTTTATTTCTCCGCCTCTCAATGGACATGACGTGTGCACAATCAGTCTTTCCGCCGGAATTGTTAGTATCTTTATCGTTCCAGAGAGCATAACTAACGCGAGATCCATCAACCCACAACCATATCTTTTGATATTAGGATGTCTATACAAAATGATCCACATCCACCCGTTTGGTGTACGTAGAGAGGTAACGGCTTCTTCCTCAGCTGCTGAATTTATCGAGGCAAGTTCGGATCCAAGGGATTCGCGGGCGGATTTTGCTGCATTCCACTTAAGTCTGTTGGTAGTGAAGACATTTGTGGTCACTGTAAAAATAACAATAATAATGATGCTAACGATATTGATGATAATAATATTAATGATAATAGTATTAATAACAATGAGAATGATGATAATAAAAAGCACTATTGTAATAACATTAATAATGATAATAAAAAAATTACTAAAAGAAAACAATGATATTAATAATTATTATTATTGCAATAATAAATAACAATAATACTATTTAGGTAGTATAATATTTGCTGATAGTGTATGATAGTTCTTGTTCAAACGCACGTCATACTTAAGTCTAGTGCAGCCCGTTATCTAAACGCTCGCTGTTCTTTATCAATGAAGAGGGTAGACTCCAAAGTCTGTAAATAAAGATGTAATGAACTTATCAAATTAAATACATTTGGCTGTAAATAAAGCCTTCAAAAAGTCTTTTAACAGTCTTGAACAAAAGCAAGCGAAAAGTTTTGATAACCAAGAATTCAAGAAAACTTCAACAAGTGTAGAAGTCAAACTTAGTGTAAAGGCCTCTTAATATGTTTGGCTAATTGATCAGCTTACGTACGTCACGCATGAATTTAAGAAAGTTTACCAGGAGGGAACGGATGGGGAAAATTGCAATTCCAGAAAGGAACACCCAAAGCCTGGTCTTTGGTTATTTTGGCAATTATAACTTTACAGTTACCTTGCCGCAAAGAAAAATGTGAAATTAACAAGGCAAAGTGGTATTTTATGGACGATTTTTCAAATAAAAAAAGGTAAAAATAGAAAAAAGGCATTTGTATATCCATATATCCATTAATGCTCGTTTTTAGAGAAAAAAAAAAACTTTTCAATTACTTTCATTCCTATTTGGCCAAATGGTAAGCTTAAAGAAAATTGATTTAGCTTTGAGACGTCTTGGAGTTTTGAGGTGATTTTCCGCTAGTATTCGCTATACGCATCCTCAACGCGCATAACTTGACGGAATTTGCACGTACACATCAGATTAAAACAATCACGGCTTTTTCTTTACAGAGGAAGCTGGATATACAGTAACATGTCGGCTTATCATTTATTTTGAATCAAATCATAGCTTTTCTTTTCTGTGAAAAATCGAAAGAACTATTTACAGTGACGCGGTACACTGGGAATGAGACTAAGATGCTATCGTCATGGCTACATGACATCACAATCGATAAACAGAAGATTTTCATTCCTTTGAAACACATGTGATAGTTTTGAACACGAGGGAGGAATCATGAGTTTTTAGAAGAAAATGCGTGGAAAAGGTCGAAGTAAAAACCATCAAGAATTACACTTGAGAGCTTCGGTTCCTTCTCCGACTGTGGAATGTGCCAAAGACAAATGGTAAGTGGAGAAAAAAGAGACGAAAAGTCATCGGGAAAGATCACCGATAAATATAGGCATGTTAGATTTAGGTGAAGTTTTTTTTTCCATCTGCGCTTTTGGTACGACGAAAGAATAAAGCAGCCGTTACAAAAGAAAACACGCCGGCAAAAGAAAATAAAAGGAACGGTTTGTTTTTAAGTCTGCGAAAAAAACTGAATGACTCCAAGCAATTTACTTCTTAACTTGCGCTTTTTCGGTTTTATCGAAGCGCGCTAAATCTCAGTTTTAAGAGGCCAATGAAATTATTTCTCGAAATCGCAGGGAAATGACGGCGATCGAGATTCAGTAAAATGAAACTGCAAACCTCTGATAGACTGATGTGAAGATAACAAGAACCCAAATTTTCGAAACTCCATTTACGAAATATAAACAACAAAATTTCATAACCTTTCAAGGAAGGCTTATATCTAAAGCAAGTTCATAAAAACTGATTAAAAGTGTTATTTCTTGCTCTTTCAGAGTATTAAGAGGACATTTTGATTACTTGAATTCACTGTACCGTTGTGATTATCTTGCAGTCTCCCAGACAAGAAAGATTCCATCAGGGAAGAAAGTAGGAGACTGTCGCGTCCAAGATCCTTAAAGAGCTTCCGAAAGGAAAAGCGCGATGGTGATGTTACCAGTGGTTCTGCCTGTTCGAGGGTGGCCCCCACAAAGGCTAATACTGCTCCACTTGCTCCATTGTCAGGCGTCGTTGGTAACCATGAGAAAAAGAAGGAAGCGAAAGCTGGTGCTGACACTAAGGGTAATAGTTCTCAGGCGGTTTCGTGTCGAGGCCGCAGTAAAGCAAGATCAGGACCAACAAAGGTCAAAAGGAAAGCTCCACCTCCACCGCTGCCTCTGTCTGAGAGGCCTTCCGTTTCTCATACCAGTCCATCCCAATCTGGTCTACCTCGTCCTATTTCAGCCCGTCCCTCTCCTCCGATACCTCCACCGCGTCAACAACGAACTCGTAAGGCGGCTCCATCTCGCCCCCCTGCACCGAATATGAAACAGGCTGAAAAAAAGAGTGATACCACAAGTGTTAAGAAGAAGGAAAACGAGATGCGCCACTATCCAAAGGATCTAAACCCGTTTGCAAATTCCGACGGTACCACCGATAATGACTGCTCGTCCCAGAACAGCGAGAAGGCCTTCAGTGCTCGTCGCCAAAGGCATACAAGAAGACGGAAGAACTCTAAAAGTGGAGAATACTCCATGGAAAACAATCCACTTAATGATACTCGTGAGATGAGCGAGACGCCCTCCAGTACTCGTCGTCAAAGGCGTAGAAGAAAACGGAAAGAATTAAAAAATGAAGAATACAAAATGGGAGACATCTCATCCAGTGATGCTGATGACACGCGCAACAAGCCCTCCAGTGCTTTTGGTCAAAGGCGTACAACAAAACGGAAATATTCTTATGGTGAAAAATACAAAATGGAACACAATCCATTCAATGATACTGATGAGGAAAATAGCTCGTCAATCTCGGAGTCGACCAATACTTCTGACATGTGGTCTGGTTCTTTATTGGAAGATATTCAGTTTGTGGTGAACACAGCTGCAGTAAAAGAGGTAAATGTAGAAACTGCATTACAAGGCTTGGCTACCAGCGATGAAAAAGACGAACAGGTTGGCCGAGAAGGTTCTGGCGACTCAAAGGCCCAGTCATTCCCATCTGATAAGGAGGTCTCTCCTGACAATTTCCCTTCCACAAACAAGGATAATGTTCCTGCAAGTATCGGATCAGCAAACCTTGATGCTTCGACTGCTAAAGATTGTTCAAATGTGGGCGAGAGATCAATTATCAAGCAAGTACAACCTACCGGGGAAGTAATTGCTATGGAAGAGTGCCAGGGTGGAGACAGCTGTGGTAAGTTGTTCTGTAAGCATACCACAGAATAGATCCTACTGAGCGGAAATTATTGGAAAACAGTGCATCTTTATCCACCGAACCGGAGAAAAGAGTCATTAGAAACATTCCCATCTGCGCGCAAGGAAACCTTCATTCTTGACTGTTGCTTTTATTTTGATTGCTCTTAACCAAACAGATTTAATTGGTTCAATATCAACTTAAACGGGGTGTGTATGTATTCGCCTTCTCTTTTCTTCACTTAAGCTACTGTATTTTCTGAAATCTTCTTTAGCTTTCATCGTAAGCAGTCAGTTCCCAGAGTTGGCCATTTATGTGGAGACAGAGATTAAGGTTGTCGAACACGAGTTGCTTTCATTGCACAAGGTGATGGTTAAATTGGAATTGCAGATGAAAGAAGCAATGGACACTGAAGGTTAGTTTTCTATTTTTTCATCTTTGCATGAGTCAATATATAAAAACTAACATATTTTTTACAAACGTGCAGAACAGTAATTTTCGAGAGGCACTATCCTGAATCCCTAGCTTCGAACCTTTTCTACTGTTCACTGTCATCAAATAGCAGCCGAACTATCCTGCTAGTTGACAGGAATCTCTCGGGATTCAAGTGCTTACTTTCGCTCACGCAACGCTAAAGGAAAACAATTTCTCTCCTAGGAAGAGTTGAAGGCTGGAAACAATTATCCGGGTATACCTTCGCGCCAATTAAAGGGTCATGCATGTATAACTAAGTAAACACAAATGAAATGCAGCCTTCTTTAATTTACCCCTTTTAGATTGTGAGGCCGAGTTTGAAAGCTTATCACTTGACTGGTTAGCGCTAAATAAGTTCCGTTCTGAACTTGACGAAAGGAAACAAGACCTTCTTACTCTGTAAGTACATCTTATCCCTATAAAGCTGTTTTAAACCTTGCTCGATGGTTGGGAACAAGTCAAAAATGCCCAGTATGAGATGGTAATACATCTTCAATAACCAGAGCGAATGATTTAAATTAAGCATATATAAGCACTCCTTTTTGCATGAAGCATTTTGATTCCTTGCTTTGTATTTCCATTTGAAAGTTCATCATATTAAAACCTTATCTTTCGTCTCTGTTGTTCTTAGTTCCAGACGAGAAAACCGGAAGGAGTGCTTGAAGTTCTTACGTCAGGACCTTAAATACCTGTTTGAAGTCAAAGGTGAGAATCAGTTTCTATGTTATTTCTTCCTTTTGTATGATGTTAAACATGTGGTTTTGGTTTACCAACGCCTGGGTTTTTTTTTATGCAGTCTTTTACTTGTTTGCCATCATATGGTGAGTGATGTTATTACGTTTTCTGCGGCAGGTTGGAAGAAAACTAAAGAACACAAAGATCAGGAAAAGAATGTCCTGGATCTTATCCTCAAGTTGACCAACATGGCCTGAATAACAAACGCATTAAAAGTAAGAAACTTGCATTTTAATTAGGTTGAAATGCCTTTGGTTCTCTTCTTGTAATCTTACTTCGCATTCTATAATAAGTTTGCCACGGATCATTTGGATTATGTTGATTTAAGATACTTCATTATGAATAACGATGGCTAATTCTGTTTTTTGCTTTCCTTTCCTTTTGCAGCTTCGATTTCACAACTATTTCCTTATTTCTGGTCTGACTTGTATAGTAACATGTTTGTATAATATCTTACCAAAAAACCTTTGTAAATCTATAAATTCTGAGCAGTTTCATTTTTCAATGTCAAGTTCTTTCTCATAGAGAATCATTCAGATATTATCCTTAAATCATGAGATTACCTTATTTATCAAACAATTTTCCATGTAACTACTACGAATAACTACTATGAATTCAAATAATTTTTATTGTTGTAAAAATTATCATTTTTTTAACATAAGTAACTATCTTTATCTTTTCTCGTCTTTTTTTTAATTGAACAGAACAGAACAGAACAGAACTATTTCATGAGTATAACTACCTCTTTTGTGAATGTAACATCTTAAGTTTAGGGTCACGGACCAAAAAGCAGATCTGACAAGGTTCCTTTTCATTACGACCCTGTTATCTTTTATTTCGATTACGTTTTATTTCTAAGGTGAAGGTAGATAGATCTAAGGTGAAGTCATAGTTTACGTATTTCAATTCAATGGCTTTATTTTCTTCCAATCATATGCACTGATATAGAATCATTTGTAGTCAAAGTGACGTAAGCGGTAACAAAATCACTGCACGTAACTGAATACTTCACCTTTGGCACTGCACTCTTTTTTTTTGTTCGTACTTCTCTTTTCTTTTTCTTCTTTTTTTTTTTTGGCTTTTTTTTAAATTCTAGGTAGGCAGGTTATATATCTCTAGGTACTTTTATCATTTTTAGGTAATCCGTATTTTCAATTTTGACTTAGGATTTTTTTTAGGTATTTTGTAATTTGGGTTTGGAATCTTTTTTTGAAATTTTCTCATCCTCTCCTTTTTTTCTCCTCTTTTATTATTTTGGGTTGTTTTTGTTTCCTTTTCCTTCTTTCTTACGTTTTTTCTTCTTTTTTTTCTTTTTGAATAACATTGCCCTTTTCCACCACCTGTATTAACAGCGATTCGAACGCTGTGGGTTATATTGGGTGGTTTTCTGGCTGCATGCGTCACTTTTCTTTGCGATCAATCCATATCAGTGCTGATGATTAACCGAACGCTAAGACAAGAAGACTGGGACTCATTGAGTATAACGCCATTACTTCACCAGGGAAAGAAGTAACGTAATCGCCTTAGTTTTTTTCTTTCAAATTGACACGAGATCATTTTTGATTCAATTGTAAACATATTGAGTTGCCTATTTTTCATTGCGATTCTTTTTTTCGCTATTTCCTTAGTATACTTTGATTTATAATAATAATTATAATTTTAAATAAATCTAAATAAAAAAGAAACACGACTTTTCTCAAGTCTTTCATAAAGTCCGTCTTCTCGCTCTTTTGCTGTTGATTTGCCAATAAAAAAACAATTTCTCATGTTTCATTATTCCCATTAGTCACCATACCCTCACCTCGGTTCGGATTGTTACCCTCATAGGCATTTCAGATTTGAACGATTTATGACCTTGTTCTCACGGTTTTGATGAAAATTTTAGCTAGTGTTTTCCAGTTGTGACCGGTTTATATATTCTCCGATCGAGAAGAACTCAATTGAAACGGTGGGCGATTATTAAAAAAGCCAAACGGTTGAGATGGCAAAGAACTAAACTTTTTATTACTCAGAAAAAAAATCCTATTAAGCAACAGCCAAATAGGAATAACCACATTTTATAACAGAGTCCCACCGCGCTCTTTAATCTCTCTCCCATTGTTATGTGCCCGGCGGACATTTCTTGAAACTTCGTTCGCTCGAACCTTTGTACGTAGTCAACGAGACATGTTAGAAGCGCCATGAAACCACAAGCCTCGGGACGGAGGATGAGGGAGGGGGGGTGGTGTTACTATGCCACTGGCTCTGGGTATATTAAAAAACCAAGAAGGTTGATGGTGCAGAATGCGGAAACATTTACGTAATATAAAAACTGTTTAATTACCCTGGGATTCGCCCAAGATACATAGTAGTGACTTACATCACCGGGTGTAAATTTGTGGTTTGGGTGTAACTTTAATTTTGACGTTTTAAAACCGTCAACTTTACAAAATTTTTGAGACGATCTCCATTTAAAATAAGCCCCACGTCTCCCCATTACGTTTTCTTCTATTATCTTAATTCTTATCATCATTACTATTATTACTATTATTATTATTTCTATTATTATTAGTATTATAATTATTATCATCATTATTATTTTAACTTCCATAGATCGTTGTGATTTCTGATCGCCAATTTTTTCGTTTGTTAGAAGCAGCGAACGTTTCCGTGGAGCTTTCAAATACCAATTTCAATTTCGTATTCATTCCAAATTGCGGCGTGGCTAAGAGCTCACTAGTAAGAGCTATTTTTAAGGGCGTCCTCGTATCACTGGAGTAAAACAAAATTGCTATCGTATTGATTATATTAATTAGTTTGTAAGCTATCTATCGATTGGTAAAGTCAACCAATTTATTTGCGCCAGTATTTCTCGATATCGCGTGTTCTTTATCTGAGTCCTGTCTAACAACTGTTATCAGCGGGTAACTTTCACTTTCCATCATTGAAGCGCTCAGCGACAGACCGCTCATCTAGTAACGTCTCGAATATTATCAGTCCAGTTACCACGACCAAATGAGAAAGATGTATGGGAACTAACAAATCTTTTCGATCGTAAGGCAACCAATCTAACTTGTTAATGCTGTGATAAGTTACTATACTTTCAATCTTGACATTTTCCAGGTTAATGAACAGTTTCGAAGGTAAGTGTTTCCGCATTCTGCACCAAGAACCAAACTGGGTTTTAATCTACACCAGATCAAGGGCGCAGTTAGCTGCGCGGCATGTGGCTTCATGTGTAGCCTACGAAGCGTAGTTTTGGCGAATATTATGGCCGCCATCTTTGATTTGGCAGGGGAGTGAAATAAAGTTGTAACAAGGGGCTACCAAGGGGGCGGTCGACGATCAAAAATAAGGAGAGGGGTAAAGCCTCCCCAGCCCCCACCGTCCACTCTAACTGCAAATCAAACATGGCCGATCAAATAAACGATCGCGAGCTTTTAACATTAGCTCGCATTAGCAAGACGTCTGCACTGCAGGGTCCAATTGCCCAAATCTCCGAACACCCTGGAAAGTTACAATTTGACGTAAAAATATGAAACCTGTGCAAATGATAAAACACGATTAATTGCTTTTTTCATGGCGAATCAAAAGGGAAACAGAGTAAAAAGATGGACCTACCATGATAGAATGAAGCTAACACTTGATTCATTTAACAGTTAAATTTATTTATAATAATTAATTTTAAAAATCAAAGTGAAATGTGGGAGATAGAGTGGAAAAATATGCAACTCAAAACTTTACAATTTTCCAAATATTATATTGCAGAAATTTGAAAGAAGAAAATTAAGCGATTACGTTACTCTTTTCCCAAGTAAAGTTATGCAGTGACGTTAAACTTAATGAGTCCCAGTCTCTTTGCGTTCGGTTATTCATCAGCGCTGATATGAATTCATTGTAAGAGGAAAGTGACGCATGCGGCCTGAAAACCACCCGACAAAACCAACAGCGTATGAATCGCTGTTAATACAGATGGTGGAAAAAGGCTGAATATTGAAAAGTAATGATAATAAAATAAAGTGAACGAAAGAAAGAAAAAAGAAAGAAAGAAACGGAAAAAGGAAAACAAAGAAGGAGAAAAACAGAAGAAAAGAAAAAAACAAATTAAAACCGAATTACAAAATACCTAAAATACCCTAGTTAAAATCTAAAACTCATAAATATACCTATAAAAACAAAACCTACCTTAATCGAAAAAAACGATAAAAATGTGGTGATGAAAATATACCTCGTCAGATCTGCGTTTTCATCCTCAACCCTGAACTTAAAATGCAAAAGAAGTATTTACAAAATCATGGAATAATTCCGAGCAACAAAAAAAAGAGAAAAAATATGAACAGATATTACTTATGATAAAAATCGAAAATATTTACAATACAATCAAATGAATTCATAATAGTTATATACATGACTATTTTTTGACATGGGAAATATTCTCACTATTCACAGATAATATCTTAATAATTCTCATCGGTTAAGAACTTTGCATTAAAAAATGAAACTGCCGGCTTAATTAAAGTGATTGGCAGAATTTAGAGATTCACAAAGGATTTCAAGTCATGTGCGAACATGTTACAACACAACTCAGACCAGAAATAAGGAAATGCTTGTGAAATCGAAACTGCAAAAACAGGAAAACAAAAAGCACAATTAGCCATTGCTATCCGTAATGAATTAGTATAATCAAAATGATCTGTGGCAAACTCATGGCAAATACAAAGTCAGATTATGTGAAGAGAACCAGATGCGTTTAAATTCAAGTTAACTGCAAGTTTCTTACTTTTGATAAAGTTTGCCATTCAGGCCATGTTGGCCAACTTGAGGATAAGATCCAACACATTCTTCACCCCAGCTCTGTGCTCTTTTGTCTTCTTCTAACCTGCAGAAAACGTGAAAAACATCACTCACCACATGATGGAAGACAGGTCAAAGATTGCAAAAAAAACGCATTTGCTTGGGATACGTTACGAAATAAAACGATTACAAACAGGGAATAGCTTAAAAAGAGTCTCACTTTTGACTTCAATCAAGCATTTCAGGTCTTCACGTAAGAACTTCAAACACTCCTTCGGGTTTTCTTGTTTAGAACTAAATGCAAAAAGGACGAAAAATTAGGAAAATTGAATATAGTAAACTTTCAAGTTGAAAATACAGTGTGAATCATCAACGGCTCCTGCCAACGTGATGGGCTCTTGCCAACTTCAATGATAACGTAAATAAATTGAAGAAAAAATTACCTGCAATTTGAGATCACATATGCCAGAGCTAACAAATTCACTCTGATAAAGGAACATTTGATCGTGCGTCTCAGTAAGATTCAGACGAATCAATCGCGTTTGTTGCTGAATTTTAGTTAACATCTCATAGCTGGGCTTGTTCACTTGTTCTAAACTGGTGCGCATGTTTTTAAAACATCTTTGTAGAGTAAACATGTACTTACAGAGCAATAAGGTCTTTTTTCCTTTTGTTAAGTTCCGGACGGAACTTGTTGAGCGTCAACCAGTCGAGCGATAAGCTTTGAAACTCGGCCTCACAATCTACAAGCGGTAAAGAAGGCTGTATTTAATTTGTGTTTGATTAATTACACAGTCATGCATCACCCGACATATGTAGCAAAGGTATGATCGGATATTTAAACAGATCCGATGAGAGAAGAGTCTGTCTTCCATTTGACGAGGGGGAACATTTGAAAGGAGGTCCGGGATTTCAGTTAGTGGCCCTCAAAATTGACAGCTATACAAAAAATTGGTCAATTTTTCCCTATTTTCATCTGCAAAACCACACCCCGAAGTTGGTCATTCACATTACGGATGCAGGTTACGGAAACGTCACTTCTCTTCGAAAAGCCGCACGAGAAAGTTGAGTTAAGTTATAAAGCTTGGTGGGCCGAATTGTAGCCAAGGCGAATTTAATTTTGCCACTTTAATTGAATTATTGTTAGTATCGATGTCTTGGCTTTTTGTACGATGTCAGCAAATACGTTCGTTCCCTATAATGACCAGAGCAAAGAAAAAGAGGCGAGAAAACTAACCTTTAGTGTCCAGTGCCTCTCTCATCTCTGGTTGCAATTTAACCATCACCTTCTGCAGAGAAAGCAACTCGCTTTCGACAACCTGAAGTTCTGCATCCAGGTAAATGATCAACTCTGAGCAATGATTCCTTGAATTGAAGGCTAAAAAGAACTTTAGAAGATATACGCGCTCAAATATTCAAAAGAGAAGGCGAAATTGATACTGAACCAGTTGAATCCAGTTGAATCCATTCAATTTATTCATAGAGTGGCATTGCATCTGATGCAATTAGCAGATGCATCTTCAGATGCATTACCATTCTACGAATCAAAGTACTGACAACAATCAACAATCATTCTAAAGTTTACTTGCACGCAGATTTAAATGTTTCTAATGTCTCTTTTTCACGTTTCGGTAGATGAAGATGCACTACTTTACAGTACTTTTCCCTCTATAAGGTTTATTGTGTACCATTCTTACAGAAAAAAGGAACAGGATTTGAGATCCCCTCTTCGTTTCAGTATTTTTAATGAGCAGATACATAAAACGTACCATATCCGTCTCCACCCTGGTTCTCTACCATATCACTAACTTGCTCAGAGGGTTCTGCCTGCTTGAGAATTGGTCTCTCGTCAACATCTGTAAAATCTTTGGCAGTCGAAGTATCAAGGTTTGTTGATCCGACACTAGCAGAGCTATTATCCTTGTTTGTGGAAGGGACAACGTCAGGAGAGACATCTTTATCAGATGGGAATGACTGGGCCTTTGAGTCAGAAGAATCTGCTCGCCCACCCTGTTCTTCCTTTTCACTGTTGGAAACCAAACCTTGGTGTGCCAAACCGTGCAAACGGGTTCAGATCCTTTGGATATTTGCAAATCTCGTTTGCCTTTTTCTTAATAATACTCGGTCCTTTGCCAGCTGCATCGGATGCAATACCACTCTTTTTTCCAGGCTGCTTGATAGTCGGTGGAGGGGGGCGAGGTGGAGCCGCCTTACGAGGACGTGGTTGGCGCTGTGGAGGGGGAGCAGGGCGGACAGGAATAGGACAAGACGGAGCGATAGGGATGGACTGGTATGAGAAACGGTAAGGCTGTCAGAAGAAGGCAGAGGTGGAGGTAGATCTTTCCTTTTGACCTTTGTTGGTCCTGATCTTGTTTTATTGCTTCGACACGAAGCCTTCTGAGGACTATCCCCCTTAGTGTCAGCACCAGCTTTCGCTTCCTTCTTTTTCTCATGGTTTCCAACGACGCCTGACAATGGAGCACGTGGAGCAGCTTTGGCCTCTGTGGTGGCCTCTTTGAAACAGGCAGCACCACTGGTAACATCGCCATCGCGCTTTTCCTTCTGGAAGCTTTTTAAGGATCCTGGACGCGACAATTTTTTGCTTTCTTCCTGTAGGCTGTAGGATAATTATGAGGGTATAGTGAACTCATGTAATTTAAGACAGTGCCGTAACGACTCTAAGAGTAAGAAAGTAGAAATTAACTTAGTTTTTATGAATTTGCCTAGTCGCTAAGCCTTAAAAGGTGATTAAATTTTCTTGCTCATTTTTTTGCAAAATAGAAAATTTGTGTTGTTTTCGTTATCTTTACTCCAGTCAATTTCATTTTCCGAATCTCACCAATATTTTCAAGGGCTGTCCTGTGTCCTCGATTTCCGAAAAACACTCCATCGGCTTCTTAAAACTGAGATTTAGCGCGCTTCAATTAGACAAAAGAATCACTGGTTAAGTTAAAAAATTCATTGGGTCATTTCGTTTTCGTCCCGGACTTAAAACAAACTGTTCGATATTTTCTTTCCTGTTCTGCATCTTGATTGATGTTTTCTTTCACCACCTTTAAAGAGCAGAGGGCAAAAACTTCCTGCTAAATCTATTACACCTATGCTTATCGGTGGACCTTTCCGATGACCGTTTTACTCCTTTTTCTACACTTACCATTCTTCTTTGGCACATTCCACAGTCGAAGAAGGAACCGAAGCTCTCAAGTGTAATTCTTGATGGTTTTTACTTCGACCTTTCTCTTGCATTTTCTCCAAAAAACTCATGATTGCTTCCTTGTGGTCAAAACGATGATTCGCGTTTCAGAAGATCGAAAATCTCTTGTTTATACATTGTGATGTCATGTAGCCATGACGATAGCATATCATTCTCATTTTCAAGTGTGCTGCGTCTCTGCAAATAGTTCTTTCGATATTTCACAGAAAGAAAGTCATTACATTGTTTTAAATAAATGATAGGTCGACATGGTGCTGTAGATAGCTATTACCGTAGAGAAAAAAACTGTGGTTGTTCTAAATTGATGTGCGCGCGCAAACCTCGTTAAGTTATGCGCGATGAAGGTAGGTACAGTGAATACTAGATACTGAAAGAAAATCGCCTCAAAACCCTGAGACGTTTCAAAAATAAGTAAAATGTTTGTAGTTTACTAGTTGGGTACATTGGAATGAATATAGATCAAAAGGTCTTGTGGTCTGCTTGATTTTCCTCTCAAAACCAGAATTTCACTCGACAGCGAAGTGAATCTAGTTCGTAAGACACGAGTTGAGTATAGTTCATTGAGTTTTTGATTATCGAAACTTTTTCGCTTTTGCTTTTGTTTTTGATTCAAGAATTTTCGAAGACTTTATTTAGCAAATGTTCTTAATTTGATAAGTTTAGTACGTCTTTCTTTACATTGTTTGGGGTGTAGCCTCTTCATCGGCAAAAGAGGGTCTCGATGGGGTTAACAAGATATCTGCTGAATTATCGAAAAATAACCGTTTCTCGTCTTCTTTTGGAGTGACCGATGGAAACTTCACAGAGGAAGACAGCATCACGCTGTTGTGATGATGTACATGTTTATTGATAAATTATCGGTGTTTAGATAGTTTCCTGTAAATCACCGACTTGAACAAAAAAAAAACAAAAAAAAAATTAGAATCTAGCCAAACACACAAGTGACCTAATACAGAAGCTTTCACATGTAAGCTATCAGATTAAAGCGGGGTCCAGAACAGCAGACTAAATTAAATTCTATAACATCTCCGCACAGTAAACTGAAAGGTTTTTCATCTTTTAATGTATCTTTCCTTGCAGTATTTCTCAGTCAGATCCTCGATCATCACTTGCTAATATTTTTTTTATGGCTGTTGTTGCTTTTTTTTGAGATAAAAATATGGATGGAAATGAAGAAAGAGACAAGAAACAAAGCGCGTTACCAAAACAGCTCCAAGAAAAGTTCATGACGACAGACACTGCCGTGTTATGAAGAAAGAAGCTCAATTCCGGAGAACATTACACTGATCTTGACAGTGTTAATTTTACCTGGCACAAAGACTACTTTGCCTCCTCTTGAGTCAACTTTGTTTCCGGTGTCATCAAATGTAATACATGTGCGTGAAATATATGAACGAATTATTTGATAAAGAAAAATGAAAAGGAAAGAAGTAATACAGCATTATGTCCGGAAATTAATCACCTCGGGTTACGTTCCTCTACTTTGGGCAGAGCCTACCTCCTAAGAATGCCCCAGAGATGAAGGAAAGATATGAGGTCTGTGGGCAAGAACTGAAACTCAAGGACTATATCAAACTCGAAAAAAAATCAGGCTACGTTCACACGGTAACGGACGAATTTTGGACGAGCGGACATTCTGTATACACAAAACTGTGCGAAAGTTTCGTTCTGTTCAGATGGAACTAATAACAGGATGAATTTTGCGACATTTTTGAGTGTTTTACCGTCTCCTCATGTGCAGAATGCTTCTTAACCCAGAGCAAAATGGCGTCCAGTGTTTTTGCTGCTTCGACGTCTTCGATTTACAGACGTTTTTTACCCTGATTTTTTGACATTATCAAGACACCAGCACAAGGTCGCCTACGTACGTGGCAAGTTCGGTATGCCCTGCACATTTGCGAGATAATGTTATGCAATAAAGCTGTGATATTATCGAGCACCGCAATCAATAAACCAACACGTTCCATCTTCGTATACAATTGTAAACATGTCATTTAGCCTAGTTACCACGTATCCATGCAGTCACGCCTTCGCTGTGCACAAATTTCTACGTCTAAGGTGTTCACAATGTGGCGGTCAAATTATTGACTGCACCGGCTAAAAAATCGTCTTCGATTTTCGTGTTCAAAGTTTTAAACGCTTGGGCGTCCAAATTTTCGTACGTTTGGCGTGGTTCCATGTGAACGAAACGCCCAAACGCACGAATTTTCCACCGGTCGAAAATTTGTCCGGTACCGTGTGAACGTTACCTCAGAGTATTATAAGATCACATTGAGACAACTTGGAAATGTTGAGAATCCTCCCAAATCTCGTTAAATAACCCTATTCCTGTTAAAAAAAACAACACCAACAACGTTTTAAGCAGTACCGCCATTTTTATTGTTAAGTTGATGGAGTCTGCTTATAGTGCTGCATGGAGATAATCACGTGACTTGTTATCCCCTCACAAGATATTGCTGCGCTTATCTATCCTTTCCCCACGGTATCAACGAACGTTTTTCATTCAATTAATTTGTTGTTTTTTCCTCTTCCACATTATCATGTTCCCAAACAACAGCGTAGGTGTAGCTCAATCTTTCTGCATATAAACCTCGCACAATCCTAAATTTTCCTTTATCCCCTCGAAATACAATTTCACAAAATTTTCACCTGGTCATATAAAGTGGGAAATTATAAGTAAAGCAAATTAATTGGCTTCATTGAGTACATGTTTATTTCTTCAGTACTTCTATACATGTTTATTTCGAATGTCTGGGTCAATAAGACTTGGTAGACCAAATTTTGCCATTAAAATTTTCTTTAAATTCAATCACGATTGCTTTTTTTATTCAAACCTTTATGAGGTTGGTTGGGATGTAAAAGCATGCGGGTGGGGAGACAAATCTATGGCTCTGAAAATCGTCAACACTGCGTGAAAAAATATTGACGCGTCTCTTTCCAAAGCATATGACATCAATTTTAAGTTTAGTCGACCTACGTTTATTTTGAACATTAGTATTTATGCACCTGCGTTAACAAATTCATTCTTGATTCTTCGCAATTTCTTGATTTGCGTCTGGCTTAATGAAATGATATTGAAAGTTTTCTTAGAGGGAGTTGAAGGAGGTCGATTTAATATCTCTGAGTCTTCTAGTCCTTCAAGGTTTTTCACCCATTTAATCAATGGCTCAAAACTCAACGGCTACGCTTATGCGTTTATCGAATGGGAGGTGTCTATATAGCCAGTCTTTTTATTTATTGCTCATGTTAACTGATACGAGAAGAGTGCTGTAATATTAACTCTTTAACTCCCAAGATCTCATTAGTAATTCTCCTTACTGTCCGCCATACAATTCTTATTTGGAGAATTTGGTATTGGATCAATTAATAATCTCCTAATTGATATTTTGCGTTATTCTCATCACTACTATGCTTGATATTGTATTGATATTGTAAGGAGAAATTCTCTCTTAGTCACTAATGGGAGGTAAAGGATTAAGAGCCCTTCAGTATGATCGGAAGAACTGTAAAGTAGGTATAGCACTACACTAGTCTGTTCGAAGTTATCTAAGTCTACTGAATGTCATTTGAGGCGTTAAGAGGGAATTTATGTGGAGATGGGTTTTCACTCTTGACGGTTATAAACTTCTGATGGAAGTTTCTTCAATTTTCTGGGCCATTTGTAGGTTGACAAGTGAGTTACTTTCTCAGAATGACGGTTTGTCACGAGAAATAACTTTGCAAATTTGGCGGAGTTAGGGAAAATGTGAGTAGAACATCTTCTTTAAGCTTGACGCAGCACTAAACTCACCACGGGGAATTAGAGCCATGAGACAGCTGCTAACATTCCAGTTTTTTTAAGAAGTGTGCTTTGCTGTTGTCGTTACTTTGGTTATGCTGAGATTTTTTCCTCTCTCACTGTAGCACATTCCCGTCAATAAATTTCAATTCTATTGCTCTGTAACTTAATAAACAGCATTTAATGTCACCTCAATCAAAATTAGCAAAAAATCATTAAATGGATCAATAACCCAATAAAAGTGACTGATTACATTATTTGACTACAACTTCCTTGTACTTATTGAATTCTCCTCTAAATGTTTCATAAAATACACAATTTTAGAAACTGAACTTTGAAAACAACAATAAAAAAAGGAAACTCCTCTTTAACTTCTCGTTTTGCGATTGGAAAATTAGTTTTAACAGCATACTCAAAATATATTGTAATCCTGATGCATGAAAACTTTATCGCTTTCGAACGCACCCGGGAAAAATCTGTCGAAGTATTAGGAAAAATTATTTTAAATACTGGCTATAAACGCAAAAAATCTGTTAATTTGATTCCGAAAAATCCAATAATCGTGAAACAGAAACTAATTATAACTTGGTAAATTTCCTCCAAATGTTAATCACAATTTCCATTCAACTGAAAGTAAGATAATCGAACGATCACCCAAGTGATTATTCTCCAATTTCTATGAAAACGCTTACGCATACATATGGTTTTGACAGCTGTATATCAGCCATAAGACAAAAACCGATTAAGAGAAAAAAATTATTAAAAATATTTTAAGGAAAACGGCGTTTTCCAGGTGCTTTTTAGCTTAAACGTAAAATTAATATAACCGGCCCAAAAACTTGTTTATAGATAGCAAACTCACTCATGCTAGATGAAAATGTTTTTTACATAGCCAGTCATAGTGATTTCACGAAACCGCTTTTGAAAAAATTACTTTTAAGCTGGTTCGAATCAGATATTAAAGATAAAAACACTGCAAAGTCCTTTTCCTTCGATGTGTCCAAAATCCATATAGCTTATAAGAACATTTAAGATAATAAGTAAAATATCAACTTGTGAAAGAAGAGAAATCCTTACGGACTCTTAAAGGCTCTTTCTATTCTGCTTGCTTTGCATAGAATACTCTTACAGAGATTTTATTGGTATTCTTGTGGTTTCTGTTCCAAATGTCAACGTTTGTAGGCAAAGGTTTATTTCCTTGGGTTTCGTCATCTCTATGATACAGCACCAATGCTCGGTTCCTGAACTGAAAAATAAAAGAACCACAATTAGGAAGAATCTTTGAGTTTACATAAAATTTTTCATTCGGCTATACGACAAGAAACGATACACTTCACAACAATTATTATCAATCTTATTTCCATGAAAAACGTTTTCATCGTTAAGTCTGGAGAGTGTCGACTCAATTGTAAAGTATCTCAATTTTCTCGGGAAAAAAAGCAATTCTTACCCCCTACACAACCAGGCACCCGTGCTAAAATATATAGTTGAATTGCATAAATGTTATGAAAAGAATAATTACATGGATCAGCAACTAGATGTTCTTGATATCAAGTTTGACGTCATCACCAATGAGTACAAATGGTGCCCAGTACTTCACCCCTTGGAACGTTCCAGATTCTCTCATACATCTCATGGCCTGATTGAGAGCTTCACTTGCCTTTTTGCCTTTAGCGAGTGCATCGTAAAAGAAACTCATGAACTCCAGGGTTCCTTCGTCATCTAACGCCCACAAGGCTACCACAACAGATCTAGCGCCCGCACCCAGGAATGCTCGGGCGATGCCGACCACACCCTCGGCCATGACCTCCCCACGAGCGCTGTGACAACAGCTTAGAACAACCAGTTGCGCCCGCAGCCCAGCTTCCATGACATCTTTCATCGTCAGTAGATAGTCCTTTTCTTCAGGCTGAGTGGTTTCTCTTGTGGTGTTTGGTGCCAAGATAACTTCCCCAGTTTCCATTTTACCATGCGCTGCAATATGTACCAAAGCCACTGATGACAGTCTTTTTAACACTTCTCCTTTCGTTGCCATTTCTCCAGTGAGGGGGGAAATACTGAGCATTCGTCCAATCATTTCCGCTTCTTCCCTTGCTCCTGGAAGTTGCACCAAACGTCTTCCCTGATAAATGATCTCTTTGAAACATGGGTCGCCAACAAGCAATGCACCACTCTTCATGTGGAACTCAGCTGGGGAATCATTAATTAGTCGTAGGGTCGTCAGGGAAGGAAGCACACGAATTCTGAATGAATCACTCAGATAAGTTGAATTTGAGTCCTCTAATGCCGCGTAGGGCACAAGACAAAATGGACCCTCAGGAACAAATGTAAGCTCGTTGCCTTTGATCAGATCAGCAATAGGAGTAACGATGATGTCATAAAGCTTCTGTAGAGCACTTAATTGTGAGTTCCTCACATCAACTTGAATCATATCGCTCGCCACTTCCTCCGGTTTCGGCGAGTAATGAGGAGGATTTTCGCATGTAACAGCATCTCTTGCACCGACCTCTTTCAAGGCAGTTTTGTTCAGTTGCTCGATGAAAAATTCCAATTCCTCCTCATACTTATAATTGTTCACGTGTACCTTTCGCGATTGGATATTATCGTCGCTAAGGACAACCCAGAGGTGAACGTAAGGTCCACTGATAGCTATAAAAATTGTACTTGATGGAACAAAAGTAAGGAGAACGGACGAAAAATCTCCGGGCTGATATTTTGAGGTCAGTAGATCTCTCAGAGCTTGAGCGCGTCCTTTCTCTGCGGTGAGAAGAGCATCAACAACTCCACCTTGGATTAGATTTACACGCCACAAGCCTATGTATGCACTCTTATGCTGATCACGATAAGTAATCTTCCACTGATCATTGAAATGCAGACTCGCCCTGATACTATCAAAAGCCTCTACACTAGAGTGAAAGCAGTCAAAGGCCCTCCTTAGTTTACCTTGACTCTCAAAACTTTCTCCAAGAAGAGAGAGTGAGGATGCCTCTCCGGCCTTGTCTCCCACTTCTTTAGCAATTTCTAGACCACGTTGATGGTACTCGATTGCTGTTTTGAACTGTCCTAGACTATAATATGCGCAGCCTAGATTGTCATAACTTTTTCTCTCTCCGACCTTGTGTCCCACTTCTTTAGCAATTTCTAGACCACGTTGATGGTACTCGATTGCTGTTTTGAACTGTCTTAGACTATAATATGCGCTGCCTAGATTGCCATAACTTGCTCCCTCTCCGACCTTGTGTCCCACTTCTTTAGCAATTTCTAGACTACGTTGATGGTACTCGATTGCTGTTTTGAACTGTCTTAGACTACAATAAGCGCAGCCGAGATTGCCATAACTTGTTCCCTCTCTGGTCTTGTCTCCCACTTCTTTAGCAATTTCTAGACTACGTTGATGGTACTCGATTGCTGTTTTGTACTGTCCTAGACTAACATAAGCGCAGCCGAGATTGCCATAACTTGTTCCCTCTCCGGCCTTGTCTCCCACTTCTTTAGCAATTTCTAGACAACGTTGATGGTACTCGATTGCTGTTTTGAATTGTCCTAGACTACGATAATGGCAGCCGAGATGGCTATAACTTTTTGCTTCTCCGGCCTTGTCTCCCACTTCTTTAGCAATTTCTAGACCACGTTGATGGTACTCGATTGCTGTTTGGAACTGTCCTAGACTATCATAAGCGCAGCCGAGATTGCCATAACTTGTTCCCTCTCCGGCCTTGTCTCCCACTTCTTTAGCAATTTCTAGACCACGTTGATGGTACTCGATTGCTGTTTTGAACTGTCTTAGACCATAATATGCGCAGCCGAGATTGCCATAACTGGTTCCCTCTCCGGCCTTGTCTCCCACTTCTTTAGCAATTTCTAGACTACGTTGATGGTACTCGATTGCTGTTTTGAACTGTCTTAGACTATTATATGCGCAGCCGAGATTGGCATGACTTGTTCCCTCTCCGGCCTTGTCTCCCACTTCTTTAGCAATTTCTAGACTACGTTGATGGTACTCGATTGCTGTTTTGAACTGTCCTAGACTATCATAAGCGCAGCCGAGATGGCCATAACTTGTTCCCTCTCCGACCTTGTCTCCCACTTCTTTAGCAATTTCTAGACTACGTTGATGGTACTCGATTGCTGTTTTGAACTGTCTTAGACTACAATAAGTGCAGCCGAGATTGCCATAACTTGTTCCCTCTCCGGCCTTGTCTCCCACTTCTTTAGCAATTTCTAGACTACGTTGATGGTACTCGATTGCTGTTTTGAACTGTCCTAGACTAACATAAGTGCAGCCGAGATTGCCATAACTTGTTCCCTCTCCGACCTTGTGTCCCACTTCTTTAGCAATTTCTAGACAACGTTGATGGTACTCGATTGCTGTTTTGAATTGTCCTAGACTACGATAATGGCAGCCGAGATGGCTATAACTTTTTGCCTCTTCGACCTTGTCTCCCACTTCTTTAGCAATTTCTAGACTACGTTGATTGTACTCGATTGCTCTTTTGAACTGTCCTAGACTATCATAAGCGCAGCCGAGATTGCCATAAATTGTTCCATCTCCGGCCTTGTCTCCCACTTCTTTAGCAATTTCTAGACCACGTTGATGATACTCGATTGCTGTTTTGAACTGTCTTAGACTATAATATGCGCAGCCGAGATTGCCATAACTTGTTCCTTCTCCGGCCTTGTCTCCCACTTCTTTAGCAATTTCTAGACTACGTTGATGGTACTCGATTGCTGTTTTGAACTGTCTTAGACTATCATAAGCGCAGCCGAGATCGCCATAACTTGTTCCCTCTCCGGCCTTGTCTCCCACTTCTTTAGCAATTTCTAGACTACGTTGATGGTACTTGATTGCTGTTTTGAACTGTCCTAGACTATAAAAAGTGCATCCGAGATTGCCATAACTTGTTCCCTCCTTGGCCTTGTCTCCCACTTCTTTAACAATTTCTAGACAACGTTGATGGTACTCGATTGCTGTTTTGAACTGTCCTAGACTTCTATAAGCGCAGCCGAGATTGCCATAACTTCTTCCCTCTTCGGCCTTGTCTCCCACTTCTTTAGCAATTTCTAGACCACGTTGATGGTACTTGATTGCTGTTTTGAACTGTCCTAGACTATAATAAGCGCATCCGAGATTGCCATAACTTGTTCCCTCTCCGGCCTTGTCTCCCACTTCTTCAGCAATTTCTAGACCACGTTGATGGTACTCGATTGCTGTTTTGAACTGTCCTAGACTATCATAAGCGCAGCCGAGATAGCCATAACTTCTTCCCTCTCCGGCCTTGTGTCCCACTTCTTTAGCAATTTCTAGACAACGTTGATGGTACTCGATTGCTGTTTTGAACTGTCCTAGACTATCATAAGCGCAGCCGAGATTGCCATAACTTGTTCCCTCTCCGGCCTTGTCTCCCACTTCTTTAGCAATTTCTAGACCACGTTGATGGTACTCGATTGCTGTTTTGAACTGTCCTAGACTATTATAAGCGCAGCCGAGATTGCCGAACTTGTTCCCCTTCGCCTTGCCTTTCTTCCCTTTAGCAGTTTCTAGACAACGTTGACCTGTTTTGAACTGTCCTAGACTATCATAAGCGCATCCGAGATCCCCGACCTTGTGTCCCACTTCTTTAGCAATTTCTAGACTACGTTGATGGTACTCGATTGCTGTTTTGAACTGTCTTAGACTACAATAAGTGCAGCCGAGATTGCCATAACTTGTTCCCTCTCCGACCTTGTCTCCCACTTCTTTAGCAATTTCTAGACTACGTTGATGGTACTCGATTGCTGTTTTGAACTGTCCTAGACTATCATAAGCGCAGCCGAGATCGCCATAACTTGTTCCCTCTCCGGCCTTGTCTCCCACTTCTTTAGCAATTTCTAGACTACTTTGATGGTACTCGATAGCTGTTTTGAACTGTCCTAGACTATCATAAGCGCAGCCGAGATTGCCATAACTTGTTTCCTCTCCGGCCTGGTGTCCCACTTCTTTAGCAATTTCTAGACAACGTTGATGGTACTTGATTGCCGTTTTGTACTGTCCTATATCATAATAAGCCATGCCAAGAGAGCTACAACGGATTCCCTCTTCGGCGTTTCCTCTCTCTACCTGAACCAGAAGTTTTTTTCTCTTGTCAATCTTGAAACGGGTCAAGAATAAATGGATCATGCTTGGACGTGATAAAGTTTCAGTAATAATGAGAATATTATACAACCGGTTGGGAAATTTTTTGTGTATGACTGGCTAGGAGCAGTAGTATTTTAGTCAAATTTGGAAACACTTATTTGTTAAATTAGTATTTTTAATGGTAAATGAAATTTGTTGTTTTAATTTTGAAACAATAACTGAAATAATTTCCGATTGTGAGGCGAAAGAACTGCAAGAGTGTAAGGAAAACGCAGCAAATATAAACATCATGAAAAGCACGATGTGGCCTACATTCTGGAAAAAGTGGCTGAAGCGAAAGAATTCAGTCCGAATATTTTGAGCCACGAGATCAAGAAATTTGATATAAATCTGAAGAGGTTATTAATTGAGAAAGAAGGACAATTTCGTGCAATGAGCCACACAGTTTGCGGGTATTGGTAACATCCCTGGAAGGTCGTTTAATTTAGAAAAATCATTCGCTGTGTTTTTCCTCAAATACCCCTTGTAACCATGTTATTCCCCATAAAAACCCTTGAATGGTACATACGTGACTAGCGGGGGTTTATCTGGATGATTTGCTATCTTAACAATACTCTTATTAGATTGAGTATTACGAGCTTTCTAACCGCAATTATCTGTTTAGTTTCGGGCGTCTTACTGTTTTCTTGTAGTGACGCGGATGAGGAGCATTCTGTTTAATCTCTGCGAACTCGATATTAAGGCCCCTTCTGTTCGGTAAAGTTTTGTGGAATAATGGAAATGATCTTTGAAAATATTGTAGTTTCTAATAGGTGTCAGTGAACACTGCTTGCATTGCCTTACGCATCACATTTGAAACACTCGTCAAAGGATACGGCCAATCCCATCTGCAACCAGCTCCTTATCTCTTCAAACAAGGATAGCTCGACACAAGCACTGGCTCCTGAGAGGGTAATAGTAAGCGTCGCAAGGTAAATAATTCACTACCGTCAACATCTATATGTATCCAGAATATCGACTCACACCCCATTCACACTAGCAAAGCATGTTTGGTTAAAAATGGTTTTCTGACTGAAAATCAGAAACAGAGAACTGGAAAGCTGAATTTTCCATCTAAGTAATCGCTAACTTGTATTTCAAATGTGTTACATTTTAAGTCGATAAACATGGGTTCGTGGAGCTTCTATGAAGAACAAAAATCAGACCGTGTTTGACAAAACAGCTTTAAATCATGTTGGAGCTTTCGATAGGTTTTGACTTGGTTTGGAAAATACTTTTTACCTACGTGGCAGATATTGATGCGTTAGATATCATTGACACCCGAGTTACAGTACAGTTCCCTCGGAAGAAATCTCAAAAAAGAGTTTAGATGACTCATAGCTGAAACACGCACCTTTCTTTATCGCTTTGATCAAAGTGGGTTCCAATTGAACGGCAACTGTTGCATCATTAAGACATTCTTCATAGTTTTCTGTGGAATTCAATAACTGCGTGTGAGTCGTCATCGCACGTCGATTTTCGATACACATGCAAAAATTTCAGCGTGCTTATCGGCTGAGAACACGTCAATTAATCCCAAACAGAGTAGAAAGTTGAAGTTAAGTGAAGAAAGTTGAAGTTAAATTGATTGACAGGTAAGCCGCGAAAGCAAAACCAAAAAATAATGAAGAAAGTAACAACGTTTTAACTCAAAGTTTGAGGGAGAATGCTAAAACTAAAAACGCACAACAAAGGAACAACAACTTGCTACCAGTCTGGCTTCCAAGAACGGATATGAAAGTATAAACCGGAGGCCCTTAATAAAATTATCGATGAGTTTTACGCAACATTTTGCACGAAAGACGGGGGAGATTACGAGAGTGATAACTTTCGTGCAGTGGTTACTGCTGTCGATCGATACATAACAGAGATAAGGTACAAACACTCAATTATTCCCTAGAGAGGTTTAAAAAGTTTGAAGCAAATTATTGAGGAAAAAGCCTTACTACTACGGCAACAATTGGCAAGCCATGACACGAAATAAAGACACTAAAAAGGGTAACAGAGTCGTATTTTTGCTTGTATATTTTTTCTAGTAATCACATTACATTTTGCGTGCAATTTGGAATAAATTAATTAAATAAATCAAATTGCACTCGCCCTACGTGCTTGAGCAATTTGAACAGCCTTTGAAAAATTTATTTGTTATGATTTATCTCAAATTGCACTCGAAATCATGTGATTACCTAGATAAATAGAGGTTATTCCATGGAAACTGCTTGAACGATTTTTATTCGCTCGTTGCGGTGCATCAAAAATAAAAATGAAATAAACAAACAAACAAAGGAGTGGGCACACGAATAAAGGGGGTAAGTTTCTAAAGAAACTGTGGTGCTGCGTCGGTGAGAGAGTATAACAGGGTAATAAAGTATTAATATTTGAATTGATACCGTAAATTGGCCACCGTAAAGAGTTTAAAAGCTGACATTTCGAGCGTTAGCCCTCCGGCAGAACGACTGGAGGAATTGTGAGTTGTGTGTGTCAAGTTAAATGCAGAAAATAGAGCTTCGCTATTGGTGAGAATATGATCACGTGACTATTCCCACCAATTTACGTTATCTACTTAGTTGATAACACTAAATTAGCCAGCGCCACACATGGTTTTTGCTACTTGCCCCTTGGCTATGCATATTTTAAAATTGGAAACTGCATGATTAGGGTCATGAGCAACTAACACTGGGAGTTCGTGTTGGGCAATTCTACGCACATCAAAGATTTCGTTTAGGATAAACATCAAGGGAAGCATCTCTACATTTCTTTTCTTTCATATTTGTAACACACAGAATTTGGCTTCTTAGGCTGAGAAAGCCGACTTATATCCACATTCTCTGACCGCGATATTCCAAACTTTTTAACTTAAATTTCCGTCAGGAAACGAGATGTTCAATAATAGGAACAAAAGCATTTCTTATTGTTCTTTGCAACCTCGAACATCTAAATAAAGATGAACAGATGATTTGGATTTGGAAATGTCGTTTTTTATAGCTTCTGTTTGTCTTTAAGTGTATGACCCTGTAATGCGTCGATCCCCTCAAAGCTTCAACATCAACGTCTCAGTTCGTAACTGAGGAAATCTCCGAGCCATTATCTCTGTTTTAAAGCTAAAAGAATCCTATGATTCACAGAATGCTATTATTTAGAGTGAGCTCTAAAATTAGAAAATTTTGACTAGTTCTGCTATTTGACATTTGACAATGAGATCTCCCTTTTGGCCCACGCCTTAGTCGAAATTTTATCATTCAAATCTCCGATATCATTGTTAATGTCTCACTTGCCAATGATTCCAACCCTACTCTCGACGAAAATGTCTCCTCTGAAGACAATTTGCACAAGAGCGAGTCAAAACGATTGGCGAGGTTAGACGTAATACCGTGTAAGAAGGCCATAATCTTGGATTATTAAAAAATACGATAAGAACTTCACAAAAATGCACTGAAAGATTACTTAAGAATTGTTTTTTTTTTAAGGAGCATTTCTGCGTGTTTGTTATACATGAAATGTTCATTTTGCCGATTTCATGTGGGTAATGAAGTGAGGAAAGATGCACAAAGCGCCGGAAAGACAACAGGAGTGGATAAAATCCTGTTTGAAATGGATACAGATTGTGTATTTCGTTATTTCGGCTACGTAAAGATTTTAGAAGTTTCAAAAACAATCTTACCCAAATGGAAATAAGCTGCTGCCCTGTTGCTGTAAAGCTTGGCGTTCAGCCGTATATCTTTACAGTTCACTTGAAGTCCTTCCGTGTAGAAGTTTATCGCCTCCTTAGTTTCTCCTTGGTTGTATTTCTTGTTACCTTCCACGAGACATTCTTTTGCTCTCCCTGAAAACACATCGGTTCAGTGTTAATAGTTATAAGTAATGAATAAAGCGACCCTAGACGGATAATGCAAACTTTTGCTCAACAAAGTAGCTTGTAGGTCATAAAGAAACTTAAAATTCTGCCAAAATAAAAGGAATTCATAAACGATTATTCGCGCATTTAATTTGCTCAAGTAAAAAATACCTAGTAAATGGGAGTCTTAACTGTAGTGGATCTGCTGAGTTTAATTCAATCGATTGACATTTAGGTGGTGAATCTTTCACAGGAACCTCTTCTATACCATTAACTGAGGATTAGCTCGATTAGAAGTTATGAGTAAAGTCTGATAAAAAATAAATCGTCCTTCCACTTTGTAGTTCTCTTCACGGCCGTTCTTTGGATTGTTACGCTACGTCCCCCCCTGCTACATCCTAAAAACGGATGTGAAGGAAACAGCGGTCAACCTTCAGGCATGCGCAAGGGGATCAATTCTGACCGGCTGCGCACTAGTTTCCCGCGCAAAAATGAGAAACAGATCGCTGTCTTGCAAAATAAGAAAAAGAAAATTGAAACATTCATCTGAAATCTGGGAAAGGAAACAAAAGTGGAGAAAGGGGAAACTTAAGAATTTTTGTTTCCCGTTGATTTACCTTTCTATTTTGAGGTCTACCAATATGGTTATACGGTTTTGAAACACCATACGTGACTGACTGTCTTTTATAGTTGTTTTTATCCCCTGTGAGACAACTTGGTTCTGATAGCCTGTATGCACCTCGCCTAGTTTTTACAGTATTAGTACATGTGCAGACGTTTGACCGCCGTGCTCTGCGTTTTAGACTGTGGATTGTGAGCTTCCAAGAACTTTCTATTCTGAAGAGTTGATCAATAATTTGAGATAAATCAGGACAAGTGAAATTATTCATCTATCACTGGAGACTTTAAAAATGATACCTAGGGGCGTATTTCAAAGAGTCTAATTTCTCACCTCTTAAAGGGTCATCGTCTACACCAAGTTTTGTCTCACTTGAAGTAACTTGACTTTCGTTTGACGCTGAAGTCACCAAAAAATATACTTTTATTTAATAACACATATATGCAATTCCAACCGGTACTTTAGTTCGCTTTTACCCTTTTCGTTCCTTGGAAAACCAGCGTTTCATAAGTTTCCTAAAACCTTCAAGTGTAAACGGTCCAAAAAATCTGCACCGAACAATACATGTAATCACTTACTCGATTACCATATAGCCGTCTTATTGAATTGTTTTCTCTCACCTGTGACTGGAAGCTCATTGTTTAAGTCCAGATCCTTTCCTTTTGTTGGGGGATTACCTTCCGCCATAGCTGGAAAATAAAATGAAATTGATTGTACCGCGCTAAAGAACATCGTCACAAAACAAAAAAGGTGGCTCAAATGAAGGTAATTTAAAGAGAGCACAATAGACCACCTGTCTCTGATACTAAGATATAGCAAAAGAATGAGAATTTCAAGGTTCTCGTAGTCACACTACTGTGGTCTCGTGACGGCACGAGTCAAATTCCACTTTTTCTTTCATGTTTGTTTGTACGTTTGTTTGGTTGGTTTCGTTACATCGTTCAAAGCTCTCCGTTTCTAAACACGATCAACCTAATTGTACGCAGATAAGCATAGCACATTCTTCACTTTAGGAGAATTCATGCAAGTTGTATGCTTCGATTAATTTGAAGCTTCAACATCTCCTTCCTGGGCAATCTCCCGGGCGTTTGAACTTTTGAAGTTTCACTACTTCAAATTCCCACCCCGGGCCAAAATTGCGTTCAAATGCCGTATCCAAGCGCCAGATTTGATATTCAAATGCTCCTTCTAAAGAACAAAGGATTGACAAGAGAAAAAAGGGCATGGTTCCTGGCCTCATCTTAAGACCGTCACATATCATGCTGATGCAGTTGCCTCCCATACTGAGGGCGTTGTGGTGGTGTGAGCGCAAATCAAATTTGTATCTCCTCTATGACAAAAACTGAAACTTGAGAGTACTCCGCTGGAGATACTTGACATTTTTGGTTCAAATTTCCCACCTCACCCAGCCAAGTTTCTAATTCTACACTCCCGGGAGTGCCTTTTTTTGGGGGGGGAGGGGGGATGACGCTTCGAGCTGTACGGTGCATTCTACAAACGCTGAACGATGATGATGCAGTTGCCTCCCATACGGAGTGCGTTGTGGTGGTGTGAGCGCAAATCAAATTTGTATCTCCTCTATGACAAAAACTGAAACTTGAGAGTACTCCGCTGGAGATGCTTGACATTTTTGGTTCAAATTTCCCACCTCACCCAGCCAAGTTTCTAGTTCTGCACTCCCGGGAGTGCCTTTTTTTGGGGGGGGAGGGGGGATGACGCTTCGAGCTGTACGGTGCATTCTACAAACGCTGAACACAGTTAAGGGTTTGCACAACTATCACAAGTTCTACCAACACCCTCCGGCATATTATACAAAGAAACGTGTTTACAGCGGCCATCTAAACCTATCTATCCGTTAATTGGAGCGAGAGAAGGATTTAAATTATTTTATGTAATGCCTCGAAAAATTTCCAAAGCTCTGGTCAGTTTAAGCTGTCAGTGTGTTTAACCAAGGTCAAGAGTTCGAGCGAATGAAATATTCCACAAATTTTCGTTTAGAGGCGCTAAGTAATTATGAATGACCTGAAGCCTCGAGCCCTTTAAAATATTGTTGGGGAAAGTCTTGTTTTTCCAGTTCGAGTTTATTTTGATCCAAAACTCTCTCAGTAAGATGTTCAATGTTATTTGGAGGAACTGGATTAATGACACGACTTAATCTTTTCATCGGGAAAACAGTTGCCTGCGATAAATCAAAAACAGGTTGAGAACCAACCCTGCATACAGACTCCTGCATATCTTGATCTTGTAAGCCACTGAGAGAGTCTACTGCCAAACCATAAAAGCAGAAACCGAAATGAAACTGGGAGAATCTTTTGATATCGCAAAACTGGGGAGAACTTTAAAAATATCTGTAAACGCATTGCTGAGAAAAAGAATTTGTTGCCGTATAATTCTGAAGAGGATAAGTAGGAAATTTCTCGTGTTAGGGGGGTTGTGCTAGTCTCATCCTTCAGAACAGCATTTTGTGCCATTGTTAGCATTCACTAATCCTACATTTTTATCCTCCATGGACGATGTAAATAGTTAAACGCATGTGCCGGCTAATTTTATCTGTTATTGAGCAAAAAAAGCATTTCTGACATAATAGGTTAGAATTATATTACTAATACGCAGTTATTATTTTTCAAGGCAATGATTTAGTTCCTGTCAAGAATTTGATCATTGGCGTGGAAAATTTCAAAGACTCGCAAAAAAGAAATAAGTTGCTTGTAGCCGGTCCAATAGTTTGTAATTTTGTAACCAGACGTTTTTTTGTCATAAAAAAAATTTTGCAGCAGTTTTAGCTTCAACGGAGCCGAAATTTTGTCTCCTTGTTAGTCAAAATAAAGAAAACCATAAAGGGTACATATGTTATAACCGCTTGGTTTTCATAATTTTTCTATGCAATAAATCCTATATTGACGAAGCTTGTCTCCCTCCTTAACAATGCGGAGAAGGAACTCGGCCGATATACAGCCTTCTTACGTTCGGGCTCGGAGAGTAGCGTGACTATAAGGTTATACGTATAATGAATTTCAATATAGATATTGTTTAGTACCTGTTAAACTGCCATCCTCTGAATCCATTTATCCTCCAAAATATAACATTTTTATTTCTGCATGCCTAAAAATATCAAGAATAATATATTTTGCTTTATTACAAGTTCGATGAAAATATGAAAGATTTCACATTCACGAGTAAATACCAAATTCCTTCTAATGTCTAGTTTAGAGATTAAAATTGCTCTTCTACTTCACACAAGTTCGTTTAATTGCTTGTTTCTTCGTTTTGGTCTTATTTTATTATATATATATATATATATATATATATATTTTCATATTTTAATACTTCTGTATTCTAATTAGTCCATCCTGCGATTTAGTCATTTATCTTTCAGTGGAGAACACTCGCTGTTCGCAGTTCAAAATCCTCTTTTTTCTTCTTACAGTACAGACCATATTAAAGGCAAATGAAATTGAATCGAAAAGGATGGAGACAACCCTTAAGTCATACATACATACCAAGAGCACATGTTGTTTTGATTGCGCAGATTTATTTTATAAGAATAATTTCACCCATAAAACCACAACAATATTACAAGTGCTTCCCTTGTTTTTCTAATGAATTTTCTCGCAAAGATCCCAACCCATTAATCCAATTCTCACCTTCAACTCTGACTTGTGAAAATGTGATTTGCCCCACAAGCGTGTAACAAAATGATAAAACTTGATAACAAGAGCAGTTTCGAAGAAGCTGAATATTATTATGAGCTTATCGAAATGGAAACAGAAAATTATATATTACTCGTTGAATGTGTTAATCATGGATTTATTTTGTGTGCATCGTATTTCACTTTTCAATCGACAAGTTGGGACTGAACGTCAAATAAATTTATAGCTTTTCATTTTCGTCAGAGGGGAGTATGGCACAAATATAAATGTAACGCTGTGTGTAAATGCCCGGCAGCCAAGCCCTGTCTTATGGACTAAATGTCCGACAGACAGAAATTCTACCGTAAGGTTCTTTCAAGCTTCTTAAGAGTATCACACCCTCATCCATGCAGACGTTTGTTTAGAATGTCGACGAATTTCAAAAATTAATTTTCTTTTTTAGCAAGCGAATCTTAGTCGAGTCTCACGTGCAGAGCGTTTGATGCGCTCGTGAAGTCATTCCTAAACCGTTTCCGGTTTACTGTCACGTGCTCGTTGCACTCAACGTCAAGGACACATCAAGAGCCGTCACGCGACTAGCAAGAGCTGCCAGTAGTTACTGCTAAGAATAACAAGCAGAAATAAAACCCCTCGAGGGAGAGGCTCAAGCACATATTATTGAGTTAAAACGGACCAAGAATTGCGATAATATTTTCAGGTGCACCAAATTAAAAATAATCACCCGATAGCAAGCAA